CTGGTCCCCGTCAGCACAGTGGGCAGAGGGAGGGGCCTGAGGGTTGTGTTTGGCTTGCAGAGGACAGAGTTGCCTGTGTGTGGCGTGGGGGTGGCAGGGACGGGCTGGGACTCAGGGCAGTAACTGTCCTCGAGCACAGCTTCACCTTGCCCCACTGGTAGCCATTGTACAGATGAGGAAGCTGAGGCCAGGAGGAGCCAGGACCAGCCTGGGTCAGAAGACCATAAGGAGTCTCCTGCCTCTGCCTTGGCCACTCCTTCCCATCTTTCAAGTCCTGGGCTGTGCCTCCGGGAAGCAGGCCACATCCTGTTGGTGGCAGAGCAGCCCTGCTGGGAAGTCCTCCCCGGAGTCAGACTTTCACACAAGGCTCTGGGGGTGTGGGATGGTGCAGAAACTCCTCTCCTCCCAGCCCTCGTGGCTGCCTCGTGCCACCTCTAGCCAGAGCTGGGCCATCGGTGCCCCCGTCTGTGCAGTTGGGCAGGACTAGGGGCCCCGTGTGGGGCCTGTATCTAGAGCACCCAGCATTTGCTCTTTGGGTTCACTTCTATGTGGATACACACGTGTGCCCTGGTGGGTGAGCTGCAGCTCCTGGGCCTGCCCATGCCGGGCCCGGGTCCCCAGGACCTGCTGCACAGCAACATTTGACCTACTTCTAAGGCTCTGGGTCTGGCCCAGGCCGCGTTCTTGACTCCTCCGGGAAGTGTGGGCCTGCATCCCAACCCAAGGCTGCGGGCCAGGAGGGGCGGGCTGGGCCAGGGCGGCCTGCAGAGCCTGCGGCCAGGGGGACAGGGGCACGTGGGGAGCCAGACCCTCCTTCCCTGCCGCTGGCTCTCAGGCCCAAGGGACAGCCAGACCTCATCAGTCCCTCCCTTCCCTCACCCCCTCCACGTGGCCACCATATTCTGAGCTCCCCAGATTGGAATCAGCTCTGACGGGATGAGGGACATTCCTTATGCCCCTCTGAACATTGCAGGAAGGTCTGCCAAACACTCACCCCTGCTGTTTGCCAGCACTTCAGCCCTCCACCCTGCCCCGCCCTTGTCTGCTGAGCAGTGGGCAGTGGGAACTGGGAAAACCAGCAGCCCCTGTCCTAGGTCCTGGGCCTGGGGTCTGAAGCCTGGATTTAAGGTCTGGGTTTGGAATCCTGGGATTGGGAGTCTGGGTCCCCAGAGTGGGTTCTGGTCCTGAGCTCTGGGTTCGAGGTTCTAATTTGGGGTTCATACTCTGAGACCTGAGTCTGGGGTCTGGGCTTGGGGTTCTAGGTTCCAGGTCTGGAGTTTGAGGTCTGAACAGGGACCCTGGGCTCTGGGTTTGGGTTCAGGATCCAAAGGCAGGTTCCTATCCCTTCTACGCCCCCTGCTGGCTGGTCATCATGACTGTCTCACTGTCTACACCAAGGGGCAGCCCCCTACCTCTTCAGGCTGAGGGGACCCGCAGCCAGAGGGTGGGAGTGGCGTGAAGAGCTGGCCTGAGTTGAGGGAGTGGCAGGTGGGTTTAAGGGCAGTTACTGGCTGCGTTGCTGTCCCAGGGCGCCCCCTGCTCTCACCAGAACCCTCACCAGTCAGCAAATCCTCTTTCTCCCCAATCTCCCTTCTCCTCACCCCCTGCTGAGGGCTGGGTGTTAGTTCAGATTGAGAGCGGTCTTGTGAGTGAGCCCTGGGGCACTGTTGCCCCCAGGAGCCAGAGCTCAGACAAAGGCCCAGGCCCAGCCCCAGCCTCCGTCTGAGCCCTGGGTGGTGGGGGGGCGGAAGATGGCTTTGTGCACAGCGGGACCAAGTCTGCCAGGTGCACAAGGGAAAGGCACCAGGACACCCCTCTCCACAGTCCCCCACAGGCAGAGGACGGTGGCGCTGCGTGGCTCTGGCTGGGTGCTGAGCCTGCCCACCCATATCACAGAACTGTGGCCCCAGAAGCCCCTGTCACCCACCCATTGCCGTTTAAGCCGATATTGGGTCGTTTCCAAGGGAGAGTAGTTGTGTGTGAACAAAGTGAGGTGGGGAATCTGGGTGGCCCTGTGTACGTCCTTTGCGCTGGGCCTCAGTTTCCCCGTAGTGAATGAAAGGGGGCTGGGCAGGGTCTTGTTGGCTGTGTCTGCAGGTGGCTGGGGCCCTGGTGGGATATCCAGTGTCAGTCGTCTGGAGGGTCAGCGGGCCTGGGCAACAGGGTGTGCTGCCCAGAGGCCTCTCTCTGTGTGTCCCCTCTGGCTGTCATCTCCTCTTGTGGTATTTCTGGCTCGTCTCTGTGGACCCTCTCCCACCCCTTTCTTTCTCAACACTCTTGCCAAACATCTGGCAGAAAAGTGAAAAACTCGCCTCCCCCCAGCACCGGATGTTGTCAGTTTTCCAGATGTGGGGTGTTCTGCCCTCCAGATGAAGGAGAAATGTCTCATGTCCCAGCTAGCAGGGGGTCCAGTCCCAGCACTGACTGCTGTCCCCCTCACCAAGAGGCTGAGTGACAGGTGAGAGAGACCGGGGCCCAGCAGGTGGCAGTGGGGCGCCCTGGTAGAGGCCAGGTGGATCCTCCCCTCTGGCTCCAGCCCCAGCTCCACACCAGGGACATTTCCAGGGGCCTGGGGGTGGGGGGCACTGCCTCTGAAGTTTCTATCAAAGGCTCCAGGCACTTAAAAATCACAAGGAACACCTCCTTCCCACTTCCCGGCACAGATGCTGGGCAAGGAATGGAGCCCAATGTGTTTGCAAGCTGTCCCCACTCTCAGCGTTCTGTGCCTGGGAGGGCTTCAGGCCACCCCAGCCTTCCCTGCTTCCCCCACCTCCCCAAATGGTGGCCCAGCCAGTCTTCCCTCCGTCACTGCTGTCTGCTGAGGGCTGGGCACTGTAGGGTGGACGCTGGGGGCTGGAAGTAGGGGTGAGCATCCTGAGCTGGGCGGCAGGGGGCAAACTTCACCCACCCCCTGGGGTCCCTCAGAGAGGCAGATGGTCCCAAGGCCCCCACCAAAAAGGTTGGCAGAGGGAACATGGGGCACTGGGAGCAGCATCCAAGAGAGCTTCTTGGAGGAGGGGGCAGTGGGGCCAAGCCTTGAGTGTACCTAGCAGAGGAGAGGCAAGGGCACTTCAGGCAGAGGGTACAGCGAGTGCAAAGGTCTGGTGGGGAGCAGACCCGCCATGTGTGGGGACGTGGGGGGTGGCTATGGGAGAGAGGCAAGAAGGATTAGGGTGAAACCGAGAAACGGGCCTCAGGGCCGGGCAGGTGCTGATGAAGGCTGCAGGGGCTGCTTAGCTGGTGAACTGGGCTGGGCCACTGCCCTCGAGGGATGTTCCTGGAGGCCCTCAGACTCAGGGTTGGGGCTGCACCTGCCTGGGAGCCGTGACACACACACCAACACATAAACACCCAGACACAAACACCCAGAGCAACACAGAGACAGCACGGCCTCCCCACACAGAGGCAGATGCGGCACACACAGACCCCTCCCCTGAGGACACCCAGAGAACACACACAGATCCACACCCCCACCACAGATACACAGAGCCCGCCCCGTACACGCACCCAGACACACACAGAGAACACACGCACCCAGACACACAGAGACAGCACACAGGCACAGACACACCCAGACAGCCCCTCCCCTTCTGTGCAGGCACAGACACAGGCACCTGGGAATTTGGTGCACAGACGGGAAGTTTAACTCGAAAAGTGTCTTAGGCGATCCGAGACCTTTTGCCCCTAACACAACACACAACACGCAACACACAACACACACTCGGTGCAGCCTTCTGCACCTGCTGCGTGTATTGACCTGCTGGGGGCAGCGGGCCCTGCGCGTGTGCGTTGGACGCTGTGCTCGTGTGTTGAGTGGCTGCCTCTGTCCGCCCCTCCCCCTCTCCCCCCTCAACAGGTGATTGGGAGGAATGGACAGCCCTCCCTCCCCC